GTGGTGTTAACACCAAGGTCAAGGGTTCAGATCCCCATACTGGCCAGCTGCCAAAAAAAAAATAATAATGATAATAGGAAAGTATTTCACAAAATTTTACAGAAGAATTAACTGCAAGAGCTTTTGAAAATCAAAAATTCCTGGGTTTCATCCCAGGTCAGCTGAATCAAAATCTTCAGGGGACTGAGGCATTTTTCAGATATTCTATAAAGATAATATTGTTACCATCATCATGCCCTTAGTTGGCATACTGATATTTAAATCTAGGAATTGCCGATTTAGTTCAGACCCCTCATTTGACAGAAGAAACTAGAGCTTAGAACAGTTACAACTTTCATATCATTCTATTGTTGGTTAATGACAGGGCAGACGTTATAACCCAGACAGAGCAGGTGAGTTTCCAGCCTCCTCACTGCACCTCACTGTCTCTTTTACCTTTCCATACAAAATGTGCATGATAACACCTTCACAGAGGGCTTGCACAGTGCCTCATTGACTGGAGAAAAACAGATGAGCTTTGAAACCACACTCTGTAGTATGTACTAGATTTGGGTCAGAAGCATTAACTTCCCCTGCCTTTTCCCAGTTGTCATTAGTGTCTTATTATATGTTTTTCAGTTGGTAAGTCACATAGAAGAGATGCTCCAGACAGCCTACAACAAGCTCCACACGTGGCAGTCACGTCGTCTGATGAAGAAAACGTGAGGTATCCATGGTGCTCACAGGTTTTGTGAGATCGGGAGAACTGTTACCTGCAGTGACTCTGGAAACCTGGCCTGTCAGACATGCAGATGACCACACAGGAGTGATAAGAAACATCTGCACCATGCCAACTCCCAGAGCTGATGCTGTTGTACTTGCACATTGGGAACTGAAAGGAAGGAAGGGACTGTGGTTCAACTGAATGCTGGGGAGGTAAATTAAGGCAGAACCAAATGAGCTAAGTTGCAAATATATACATACACACATATATATATATTTTAAAAGACTGTTTACTGCAGTTACTCAGGAACTGCTTTTGATTCACATTAAGCTGCTTTCAGAAATTTGAAAAAAAAAAAAAACTTTTTTAAAGGGTGCATTGATAAAACCTGAGGTTTTTTCTGTGTAAATTTTTTTCCTAAGTTTATGGCACAGGGTAGACCTTAAGTATTTCTCCTTCATCTTTGAACCTCCACTTGGATCCTCAAGTTTTACTGAATTCTAGTTATACATAAAGTCAGCAAGTTAAAAAGCTTACTTTAAATAAGGCAGAGGGATACTGTTGCTCAACCATCAGGAAACAGTTATAGTCAGAAGACATCATTGGTCCTGTGTTTCCTAAGGAAATAAGAAACTAAATATTGCACTGAATGTTTGTGGTATGGAGTCCCTAAATAATAAAGAGGGAACATATTTGCAGAAAGTTGTGTGGGGTTTTTTACGCAGAATTTTGTCAGAAGACAATGGCACTGCATGTTTTTCTTTGAGTGCAAATGTACATTGCTAAGATTTTTTTTAAAGATGGCATGTGCTTTGAAAAGAGGAAGTTGCATTTTTAAGAGTTTAAAAATCTTATCAGTGAGAAATATAAGAAATCTTACTTATTTTCACCTCTTTAGAAGAAATAAAAGATGTTTCTCATATCTCTTTTTCTCTAGTATCTGTTACTGTCCTTGGCGAATTGATAATCATTGCATAGTGACTGAAAAGCCTAAATGCAAAAAAAAAAAAAGAAAAAATGTTGTTTCTGGAATTTGTGCCATAATTTGTTCCTAATAGGATCAACTCACTGTTTATCTAAGACTTAGATGTCTTGTATTAAAAATTACACAAACAAGTAAAACTTTTTATAAATACTCTTTCAACCGTAACACATCTTGTGGTTTGTCATTATGTGTGATGTTTATTCAGGACTGCTCAAGGACTACTCATTCTTTTTTAAGCCATATTGCAATCTGGTTATCCTTCACATAATGACTGTAATAGATGAAAATCTATTCAGATGAACTGGTACAAGGAAAGAGAGGCTACATCATTTTCTGCCTTCAGACTTCCCATTTCTCCTTCAGATCAGTACAGTAATCCCTTACTGCTTATAGTTTCACTAAGTGCTTTTCAGATGTGTTATCACCACAGTTAACTCTGAGCAGTAGCAATGGAGCAGATAGAAAAATGTTTGAAATAGGAAAGAATGTCTTTTGGGAAAGGCAGACATAAATAAAATGCTCTGTTGAGCACTGCGTTAAAGATTTACCTGATATATGTGTAATGGAACCTGAAGGAAGAAAAGACAATTTGGGGAAATTGGGGTAGGCTTCATTAAAAAGGTAACATTTTAGCTAAGCCCTGAAGGTTGAATAGGATTTTGCAGGATAGTGAAGAAAGTCATTTGTTCTAGATTGAAGGAAGAGCATGATGAAGGTATGAAAGATCCCAGTGTGTTAGGGGAACAAGAAGAATTTGTTAGATTGGAGGTTTGGGAGTGACAAGTGAGAGGCCAAGGAAATTGGTTTAATTCAGGTTATGAATGACTTTAGATGCCAAGGTGTGAAATTCGCATGGGGGACCCAGAAGAAAGTTTTGACCAAGTAAGTTGCTTTTATGGGTTGTGTGGTGTTGTTTTTTTTTTTTTTTCCTTTTTGTCTTTTTTTTCGTGTCCGGCAACGGATCACAACGCTCAGTGTCGTGCCCGTACCGGACCGGGACCGGCAACGGGATCGCAACCCTCGGTGTCACGCCCACACCTCGCTCAGCTAATGAGCAGGAACCGGTCTGTATGTGGGATCCGAACCCTCGGTGGGAGCGCCACCACGCTCCCAAGCGGCGCACTGTAGCAGTGCGCCACTGGGCCGGCCCAGTGTGGTGGTGTTTTAAATAAAAGTTTCTGAGTGGCTAGATGTCACAACCACCATGCAGTTGGTCTGTCAGCCACTGGAGTGCACTGACACAAGGAGAGTCACCTGTAGAGACCAAAGAAAAGAAGAGGATGTCTCTCTCCACAAAGCCCATTCCAGAGTGACAGAAGAAAAATCTGCTCTATCATTATATTGGGGGACTGGAACCCAGCTTTCAGCATTGGACAGATCATCTAGGCAGCGAATCAACAGAGTAACCATTACTCTTTCAGAAGGAGAGAAGAAATTTAGGGTTATCAGAGGTGGGAGGTGGGAGG